CATCAGGAGTATCCAGAAATCCTGAGGCCCTGAGCCTGAAGCTTTTACCATTCCCCTGGGCCTCTCTAGAAGAGCATGCGTCAGGAGTATCCAGAAATCCGTACTCAGGTGCATGCGAGGCAGTCGTCAGTGAAGAGCTTCTGGCTATCAGGGTTTCAGGAGCCCAACATTGATTTTACAAACCTCTTCCATCCCTCGTCTTTTCTCCTGTTTAAAAGTACTTTGGTCCTAAATGACCACAGTGGTTATTACATGAGGTGGAACATGGAAGAATGAAGAATCATGTGGTGTGAGAGGCTGTGATAAGTGTCCCCCTCTATCCTGCTGTTATCTGAACATGACAGGCAGGGTGTAGCCGAGTCTCTTATTTAACTGCTCACATCTATTCTGGGTAACAGCATCAGGGCCACAGCCCCTGCCTCTTCCATTTGCGGGAGTCTACAAAGATGGAGGATAGGTGAGTGTGGGTTCCGATGCTGGGCACAAGGCTTGTAGTAAGTGCCTGTGGTTGGCCTTGCCCATAACTGACTGGGAGGGGACAAAGCTGGGTTCTCAAGCAGCTGAGGCAGTGGTAGCGGTGACCTGAAGTGTGAGGGCAGCTCATGGTTGTTCAGGCTCTGTGTGCCAAGCATATAACTGTCCTGATGTGGAGACACCCCAGTGAAGTGGTAGGAGATGGTCACCCACTTCTCAAGCCACACAGATCTTAATCTTTAGATTTTAGCAATGTCTGGCTCTATGGGCTCCTATCTGTTTTTCTTGTGGCTGCTCAGTTCTTTCCAGCCTCAGGGAGCCAGCATATCCTCCAGGGACCATGGGTGACTTGCTCTTAGTAAGACAGGGAGGAAAATGACCTTAGCAGTGACTTGTAGCACAGTTGTGTATCCAGCCTCCTGGAGCCTAGAGCTGTGGAGGGCGGAGCAAAGTCCTGCTCACACTGGGAGGGGCATCCAGGGGTCCAGAGCTTCCTAAGGGAGACAAAGTTGGAAAGCAAGAGGGTTGTGGAGTGTGGTATGGACATTACTTGCTTCTTGGGCCCCTGGAGTCAGTGTTGCATGTGACTTGGATTTGTTTGGCAGAATGTAGGATAGGTGAGTATGGGTTCTGATGCCATGCCTGAGACTTTCAGCAGATGCCCATGACTGGTCTTGCTCAGGGCTGATCTGGGAAGAGGCAGGCCTGGGTTTTCAGATAGCTGAGCTATGGCACTGGTACGCAGCAGAAGGACAGTTCATGACTACTTAGGCTGTGTGTGCCCAGTGTAAGACTGATGATTCTAGTCCAGAGACACTCCACTCAAGTGGCAGGAGATCTGCTAGAGTTTGTTGCAGACTGGCCTTAGAGGCCATGCCCTGGGCTGTGTATCAAAGGAGCACAGTTTAGGAGGTTGTGACTTATCCTCAGGGCACCTGTCGCTTTTCACTGTAAGGAGCTTCTGTGCTGTGAGCTCCCTCAGGCCTAGGTGGACCTTGTTCTGCTTCTTTGATCTGACCCTGCTTCCCAGTACACCATCAGTCACAGGTCTGCTTAGTCAGTTAGCATTTATCCAGCATCTACCTTAGACCAGCCTTGTGCAACATCTAGAACAGAGAAACACCAAAACCAACTCCTTCCCCTTGCTAGGAACTCTGGGTAACAGCTGTTGCTGTTGGGTTAAAAGAAGAATGAAAAAAATTAAGAGAAAATGATAGCTGAAGATTGGACAGACTCCCCAGAGAGAGGACATCCAGATGTCAGGAGTGGGTAAAGAGGAATGGGTTTCCTGGAAGACCCCACTGTCCCCAGAGAGGCTGCCAATGAATTATGAGTAGCACAGAGCAGTGGCTATCAGTAAAGCATTCTGGGGGCCTTGGACAGGAGTTCTATCTCCTGGTACCACACTCTGCTTCTTCCACTCTCAGAACAACTGTAGTAGCTGCTGCAGCTTCCCCCTCCCCCCCCCCCCCCTCCTCCCCCTCCTCCCCCTCCCCCTCCTCCTCCTCTTCTTCCTCCTCTTTCTCCTCCTCTCCCTCTTCTCTTCCCCCATCCCTCCCTCCTCTGTGGCTTCCCCTTTTTTCTTACCTCTTCCCTTTCTCTTCCTGCTGTCTTCTCATTTCTTCCTGCTCCCCACTTCCTTCTCCCTCCCTCCTCCCCACTTCCTTCTTCCTCCCCATTTCCTTCTCCCCACTTCCTTCTCTCTCCTTCCTCCCCACTTCCTTCTCCCTCCTCCTGTCGTTCCCCCTCTTTCCTCCTCAGGCCATTTCTTCTCTCCTCCTTCCCTGACTTCCTTGCTTCCTTCCTTTTCTTCCTTCTCCCTCAGCCTGTAACAAACAAATGGAGTCTTAAAGGAAGTTTGATTCTAGTTATAAAGACGATAGAGTCTTCTTAACCTGTTAATAGTCATGATGAACTTTTAAACACTCTTTTCCAGAACATTTCTAAGTGGGTCCCAGCATCTGTGGATAAGTCAAGTGAAGAGCCTCACCTGACTTTGGTGGTGATCAGTGTAGTTGAGGTACTGATGTCTGCACTTTTGTTTGGTAGTTCCCAGCTGGCTGTGTGAAGTGTGGCTGTGCCAGCCCTCCTAGTCGTGAGGACTTGGCACTGAAGACAGAGACTGGACAGGCCTGGTTCAGCCTACTGGTAAGTGATTGATGCCTTTTGAAGGCCATAGGGAAGTTTACTAAGGGTAATGGTCTAGACATTCAAGGCTTTGCTCTGAACTCCTCTATCTGACTGGGAGATGCATAGAATATTGTTAGCATGCCATACCCAGTCCCATCCTTAGATGTGCTGGAGCCCTCTGCAGCACCCAGAGACATTGACTCCAGAAAAACTGTTAGATAGCCAGTGCTCTGTCCCCCTTTACCAGCTGTTCCTGTTGGTGGGAAGTCCTTTCTCAGGCCCCCAGAAAAGTCTGTCTGCAGTCCTCTGCCAGTTGGCTCCCAGACCAGAAACCTAGTGTAAGCTCTCTTCCCATAAGGTGGCTTGCTGTGTGTTCGGGGGCAGTAGGAAGGAGCAGAGGAGTGAGGGCCTGGGCTAGACAGGGTTCTAGCTGAGTAAACGCTGTCCATGGGATCTCATGCAGGCTAGGTGGCCTCTCAGTAAATGTCTGAACATGAAGACAGTAGCACCCACCAATGGAGAGGGCCTGGGTATAAAAATCATGATGGAGAATAGAAGTTGTCTGGACTCACAATCTCATTTTGCCAAAGAATCACATGCTGAAGGTAATAAGACTGTCCTGTGGGCACCTATGGAGCCCCAAACCATCCTCACATCTGTCTGGCATGGTGCATTAGCAGCACCTATGGATCATCATCCCAGAAGGCGACCTGCCTTCTTACTTGGAAGTAGCCACAGGACATGGTGAATCACACCTCCCTTTGCTTTAGCAAGCTCTTGGCCCACTAGGAGCTCACCCTGTCCTTCTTCTACAGGGTTCTAGGAGTGGACTGAAGCCTTAGCAAGACCATGAGTGAGGACACGGTCCCCGAGGCGGCCTCCCCACCACCCTCTCAGGGGCAACACTACTTCGACCGGTTCTCTGAGGATGACCCTGAGTACTTGCGCCTTCGCAATCGCGCAGCTGACCTGCGGCAGGACTTCAACCTGATGGAGCAAAAGAAGCGTGTCACCATGATCCTGCAGAGCCCTGTGAGTGGGCAGGGCCCTGTGAGTGGGCGGGGAAGAGAAGACTAGTTTCCCAGAGACTCAAAAGACCAGTGGCTCTGGCTGTTCACTCAGGGTCTTGGCAGTTTAGGCTTGCTGAACAAGATAGGCCTGGTCATGTGGGTGTTTGATTCCCTCCCTGTCTTAGGGTTTTACTGCTGTGAACAGACACCATGACCAAGACAACTCCTATAAGGACATTTAATTAGGACTGGCTTACAGGTCCAGAGGTTCAGTCCATTATTATCAAGATAGGGACATGGCAGCATCCAGGCAAGCACATTACAGGAGGAGCTGAGAGTTCTACATCTTCATCTGAAGGCTGCTAGCAGAATACTGACTTCCAGGCAACTAGGATGAGGGTCTTAAAGCCCACACCCACCATGACACACCTACTCCATTCAACAAGGCCACATCTACTCCAGTAGGACCACACCCTCTAATAGTGCCACTCCCTGGGCCTAGTATATACAAACCATCACTCTTCCTAATCACTGGTCAAGGGCAAGCCAGGGATTGTGCTTAAATTCTGGGTCAGAAAATGGCAGAGAGACATGCCCCCAACCCAGTTTTCTATGCTATATCTAGGCTTCAGGTTTTAGTTCTCTTTTCCTACAATCGGCAACAGATAGGACCATGTGAGCTGGAGGATGGGTTGCCATGGAGCTGGCCTAGGGTTCACTTTGCTGAGTAGCGTGGAGTATCCTGCTCACTGTAGATCAAGTAGCATCTGAATGTCCAGTCTAGGTTGAGGACGAGGGATAAGAGGAGCAGTGGGACAGAGACTAGCCTGACCTAGATGCTCCCGAGTCTCCAGACCAGGGTGGGTTTGTGCCTGCCTCACAGGGCTTCAGAGCTGCTTCCCAGGCAGGCAGTACAATGAAAAGAGGGATGGCTGAGGAGGTAAGAGTGCTGCTGGCCCTTGGGTAGGGAAGAAGAGCAAGGGTGGGGAAGAGAAGGAAGATAGCACTTGGGGCTCTGTAGGTCGCAGGCTGGGAAGTCCAGGGAGGAAAGTGGCTTCCCTGGGCCTTTTGGAACAGGGTATCCCATGGTCTGTGGGCAGTTTTCACCAGGAGGACACAGACTGCTTGGAAGAACAGACAGAAATGAGATGAGCCTCGGGCCTTCTTGGCACATGTCAGGGGCCTGGAGGGAGACAGCAGGTACTTAAAGACCTTAGGGTAAGATCTAGATTCCCAGAGGGAGAGGTGACAGAATAGATCATCTCCAGCCATGGTTAGTGAGTGAGGTGGATGTGGGGATGCAGGACCCCTGGGTTCTTTACCTGGTTCCTAGGCTCCTCAGCATCTTTGTAGTTCCTGTTCCTCTCATGCTTCCTTTTGCCATTTGGCCAGGAAGATAAGAAATTCAGCTTGAAGTAGGATGAAAACCCGAGCTTAGCCTAGTACGTCACAGTGGCAGGCACTACAGAGGTTCTGCACTTCTTCTCCCTCTCCTCCTAGCCAATCACTAAGAATAATTCCCTCTAAAGTGAAGTCCTGGTATAGCCTTGGCCATTACTCATATAGTAGGGAGCTGGAATCTAGACTGACTCCACAGAAAAGGGGGCTCCAGGTTCTTTACCAGAGTCTCCTTGAATACCTACCTAGCAATCTGAAGAGGCACCTGGGGCCCTAGTGAGCCTGCATCTGGGGATCCCTCAGGGTCCTTTGCCCTTACTGAAGAACTGGAAGAGCAGCCTCCTGGACACTTGCAGGAGCAGTCTGCCTGTGAAGGAGCTGCAGGAGGGGAGTGGGTGGAGATCACCTTCTGTGTAGAGCTCAGGGGCCAGCCCCTTGGGACTTCCTGTGCCCTCAGCTCCTCGGGACCTGTAGGGTCCTCAGTTCTCCTGCAAGGAGCTGGGCACCAATCCCTGGAGACCTGTGAAGCCTCACCCTCTTGTGAGGGCCTATTGGACCCTGAGCCCTCCATGAGGAACAGGGCACCAACCCCTTGGCCTGCTGCAGTCTTTCAGGGAGGAGCTGGAAGGCCTCATCCAGGAGCAGATGAAGAAGGGCAACAACTCCTCCAACATCTGGGCCCTCCGACAGATCGCGGACTTCATGGCCAGCACCTCCCACGCAGTCTTCCCAGCTTCTTCCATGAGTATGTGGGTGCCTGGGTGTCTGCCAGGAGCAGAGGAAGAGGGATGTGGTAGGGAAGGGAGGAGAAAGCCTCAGAAGCAGCTTGGTTGCTAGGTAATGGCCAAGCTGCAGTTGCATTAGCAGACCTGGGCAAAGAGATGCCTGGCTCTGCTTCTGATATTGCTGTGAATTGAAGACCCACAGGAGAATTGTTCATGATACCAGGGATGGGAAGGGTGGAGGTGACTTCAGGGCATAAGAAGACGTGAGTGGAGCCAGGAGACCCTCTAGGGTGATCACTATTGAGCAGTAAGAGGAGCTACGACTATGCGTGGGCTCCCTTCCCGGACTGTGCAGCTCTGCCCACAGCCTGGAAGCTGCATATGACTCAGATGTATACAGGGTGATGGGCACAACTAAGGAAGCATTTGAGAAAGAGAAGCCGAAACCCACTTCGTCGTGTTCTGAGAATTCCAAAATCACTCTTAGCAATATTTTGATATATCCTTTCAACTTATTTGTTTAATATAAATAGGTTATTGAAAGCAAGAATAAGATATATATTTTGATGGTATACCAACTAAATTTTTGCATTATAAATAGGGTTCTGCAATAATTTTTGTGGATGCATGCCGATGTATCAATCATCCCTTACTGGAGTTTTAGATTGTGTTCATCTCTTTACTATTATGGATCACAGTGTGGTAGGCATCCTGGTAAATAAATTTGATGCCTCATTCACGACTATCTTCTGAAGATAAATTATAGTAAGAAAATTGTGAAATGATTGGGCTGTCTTCTAAAGATAAATTGTAAGAATGGCTGGAAGAATGCAAATATGAGCTTGGAGGCATTATTATTTATAATGCAGATTCTGTCCCCTTACCATCCTGGAGAAAGAAATTTGCCAACCTTGCTCTCAACAGAGTGTAGAGGGTGTGGCCCTTCTTCCACCTCAGCTCAGACTGTTAGTTGCTGTTCCCTCTGCCCGCCCCTGCTCCAAGACAGGCTGTACTTCAGCCTTCATCTGTGCTTTTTTTTTTTTAATAGCAAAATGTTTGTTCCCGTTCTTTGCCAATTTTCCTATTAGTGTGCTGTGAATAGGTTTTTAAATCTTTATAAATTAATGCCATTTCCCTACGACCTGTCAAAAATATTACAACCATTTTCAGTTTCTCTTTTGGCTTTTAATTTCATTCATAGCATTTGTTATATTGTAGCATACATTGTTACAGAACAAAGCCTCTCTGATTTTCCTTTGTGTCTTCCACTGCTGTCCATGTGACTAGACAATAGGTCAAAGGACTGTAGTTAGTCACCAATTTATCTTAATCTCTTGTGCAAATTTATTCTATAAAGTAATTTTGGGGTTGTTCTGTCAAGCTCTCCTCTCCTCTACCTTAAGATAATCCTTTCAGGATTTTAATTGGAATTGATTTGGTAGAGGAGTTGGGATTCTTTATTTTAGGGTATAGTTTCCGTGGGGGAATGTATATGGTTGGTTCTAGAATATTCTACCTAGCATGTGAGAGATAATTTTAAAATATTTTCAAGAACTGATTTAGAATATTCTGAAACAAGGTATGTTTTATATTAGTTCTGTGATATCTAACTGGCTTGTGATATCCAAATAGCTTGCTAGCTGTTTTCATATGATCTAACTGTGTCTTAAGCCCATTTAGGAAATAATATATAACTTGGTTGTCATAAATGAATCTTTATTCAACTTTTTCTTGAATATACATGTATTCATTGTCTTGAGTTCTAAAACTATTTATTTTATTTATTTATCTATGTGGATATGTGCATGTGTAATCACACATACATTTGTGAGTGTGTATATATTGCAATATGTGTATGGAGGTCAGAAGACAGACCACAGGAATTGGTTCTCTCCTCCCACTTGGCAGCAAAGCGCTTCCCCTCTGAGCCATCTTTCTGGCCTTGATTTTTGTATATAAAAAAAATCACGTAGTCTGCAAACATTGACATTTTGCCTTTGTCTGCCAGCATTTTGCCTTTGGGCTTATTTTTCCTAGTTTTCTGGTTATATCCCCTCAGGCTTTAGAATGATGTTTAATAATTTAGAGAGTGGTCATCCTTGTCTTGCATCTGACTGTAATGGAAATTCTGTCACCACAGAACTTGAGATCATTATTCTTTATAATTTTGAGAAAATGTCTTTTTTTTTCCCTTAGTTCATCATAGCTCTCTCCTCAGAAACAGATTTTGAGTTTTATAACATGATGCATGTGGGGCACTGATTCCTTTATGTCCTCTTGAGCAATTGTCACAATGAGTTATAGTGACTGATCTCTGGAAACCAGGCTCTAAATTACTAAATTATCTCTCTCTGGTCTTGTGTGTGTGTGTGTGTGTGTGTGTGTGTACGTGCATGCATGTTTATGTTCACATATGTTCCACATGCATGTGGAAACCAGAGTTCAACTTTACAGGTTGATGCTTGGAAGGAACCCACCACATATTTTGAGAGAGGGTCTCTCACTGGCCTAGAACTCACCACATCAGCTAGGCAGGCAGTCCAAAACTTACTCTGTTTCTACCTCCCCAGTGCTGGGATTACAAGTGTGTCCCAATATACTTGGCTTTTTTTTTTTTTTTTAACATGAGCTCTGGTGGTTGGTGATAAACACAGGCCCTTCTTCTTCCATGGCAGCTTCTTCACCGGCTTAGCCGTCTTCTTGGCCCCAGTTCCTTGTTCTGATACACTGCTGTGGGCTTTACTGTCAGACTTCTGTTAAGGACTTAAGCACATACATTCTCATGTGAGGGTAAGCAGTCCACTCTAGGGCATTCAGCCACGACTTTAGTCGTGAGCAAGGAGACTCCACCTGTCCCCGGCCTTGATGGAGTTTAAGCAAAGCAGGGACATCTCTCTTGAAGGTTTACAGCTCATTTTCAAAGTTATCCAGATCTAGAACATTTTCAGAGATTCTTAAAGCTTACCCCCTTCAGTTTTATCTGGCATTTAGATTTTTATTTTGCTGCGGTGTTGGCAAATTTTGATCACATATGAAATTATCTATTTTGATGGATTCTCTTTAAAATGAAGTGACTTACAATACATGTTTTATTGTTGGGTCTTGCACTGGGTGGCAGCTGGGTTTTGTGCTGGCTTTTGCTGCACTGTGTTCTCAGTTTCCCTTATTGAACAAATCATATTTGTTTATTCACAGGTCTTACACACTAGTTATTGTATTGGTTTACTGGTTTTAATTTTTTCATGATTACTAATTTCTTTTCCAACAACAGGGATCAAACCCAGAGCTTTGTACATGCCGGACAAACACTCCCTGCCTAAGCTACATCCCAGTCATTTGTGGGAGGAGATGGGGAGCAGAGTCTGGTCACATAGTTCTGACTGGCCAAGACTTTCACCCTTGTGCCTTCACCTCACAAGGACGGGGATTCCAGGTGGACTTCACCACATCTGACTGACTTTGGTTCTGTACTTACTATCTTCCACACTGTTTATGTTCTAGTTTCCTGTAGCTATGATAAACACCACACACAGAAGCACTGAGCGGAAAGGGTTTGTTTGGCTTGCATGTCAGTACGCCACTGAGAGAAGTCCAGGCACGAACTCATCATGGAGGGCAGGGACCTGGAAGCAGGAACTAAAGCACAAGTCACGGAGGAGGTTGCTTACTGGTTTGCTCAACTTGCTTTTTGAATAACCTGGGACCACCCCCAGGGTGACCCCACCCACAATGGGCTGGGTCGTCCCACATCAATCATTAAGCAAGAAAGTACGACTACAGACTTGACTGTAGGTCAATCTGATGGACACGATTCCCCCATAGAAGATTCCCTCTTCCTGGATATGTCTATTTGCATCTGTGATCCACAGCTGCACATGTGTTCTGATGGTGCTGGCAGTGAATCACAGCTGCACACACGTTAGGCACATGCTAAACAGCAGCCCCACTTGGCCTGGTTTTTATTCCATGAGCTGACTTTTCTCATTGCCAAGCTGTTCGATGCTTATTCTTCTATAGATTGGTCAATGTCAGGCTTCATAGAATTAGAAGTTCTTAAGTTCCATGTCAAGGATTTAGTGAGAGCTTTTTGCAACCTAATATAATTATTTTTAAATGATCTATAGTTAGATCAATCTCCAGGACACGCAATTTAATTTATATTTCCATTTTCATTGGATTTTGCCAAAAGTGAAGGTTGGCCCATCCATTCTTCATTTCTCTTTGTACTTAGCATATGTTTTACTTCACATTTTGTTTGTTTTGAGATGGGGTCTCACTGGGTAGCCCAGGCTGGCTTTTATTCTCCCACTTTGACATCCTGAGTGCTGGAAATACAGAAACATGCTACCATACCTAACCAGTCCTGACAAAATAACACTTTGATAATGATAATGTGACCTTTAAATTTTTTACTTAACCAATGTACTTTTAAAAAGAAAATGTGGTGGGCATGAGCACATGTGTGTGTATGTGTGAGTGTGTGAGTGTGTGAGTGTGTGAGTGTGTGAGTGTGTGTGAGTGTGTGAGTGTGTGTGAGTG